CCTGTTGTCTGCCACCTTGCAGAGAGCAGGTGGTTATACCACAAAACCACTACTCAACATTCCTACCACCGATAAGGAAACTAAGTGGTGGTGTGCACATCAGTATGAGAAATAAGCCCAATCCAGAAGTAGAAACAGTCACCAATACAATACAGAGACAGAAGCACAGCTCTAGTACCCCATCATGAAATCCCCCTCAGCCCCGGCCTGCACAAGAGCATTGCAAGGAGTGGCCTTCATGGGAAACCCAGTTTGTTTAGGTGTCCTGAGTCCACTGGGTGCCTTGGTGCAACCAATAGCTCGTAACAGAAGACTCCAAAACAAACAAATAAACAAACAAAAAAACATTATATATAAAGACATAAAGAGACAATTTTTACTTGCAATTTTTCAAGAAAGTCTGAATTTAGAAAACTGCTTCACCAAATACTAAGTACTGGTATTTGGAGGGAAACACACACAGAGACACACACAGAAAAGGGTAGAAAAGTTACCAGGTTGCACTGATGGAAACATTAGTTATTCCACGCAATTATATCCTCCATGGTTGTCTCATATTGGGATTGCAAAAGTCAGGGACAAAGTCATTTTCATTAGGGACTAAGTAACTCAGAGAAATGGCCCAAGGATTCATTCCTATTGGGAACTTCATTAAGATACAGTGACCTGTCTGGTGGTAGTTGTGATGAGGTTGTGTTTTGTTTCGCTTTGATCTGGGAGAGCAGCATGCTCTTCCATTGAGAGGTGAGATTCCATGAGGGTGGGTCATGGGAGGTGCGTTTACACAGGTGCAGGGCACAGTATCCACTTTGCTTTCACAAATCCAGGTGTCCTTCAAACCTGATGACCTGCTGTCTCTCATATAACTAACTTTGCCTGTTTTCCTTTGTGTGAAAAAGTAAAATAAAATCCAACTTGTCCGTTATTTTTAAGCTTTAAAATTTACTTGGTTTTCACTGCCTACTTCATTGTCCAGCTAGAAATCTCTGAATCACCTTTCCCTCTGCACTAAGTTTCTGTTGCTTATTACTGAATACCTGAAACTGGGTAATTTATAAAGAAATGAAATTTATTTTTCACAGTTCCAAAGGCCAGGAAGTCCAAGGTCCGGGGAACAGATCTGATGAGGGCCTTGTTCTTGGTGACGACTCTCTGCAGCAATGCAGGGTGTCACATGGTGAGAGAAGTGGGCTGAGCAAGAGAGCTAAACTTCTCACTCGCTCTCCTTATAAAGCCATCAGAACCACGCCCATTACTCCATGAATGAATCAATCCATTCACAAGGACACAGTCCTCACAATCTAATGGCCTCTTAAAGGTCCCACCTTTCAAGTACCATATTTGGATTTCCCAACCTCTTAACACTGTTACAATTGAGATCAACTTCCCAATACATGAACTTTTGGGGAACTGTCTGTTACCTCAGCATTTCATTGGACCCTCAGCCCTGTCAGCTGCATCTCAGGAATCTCCATCATGGTTGCTGTCCCATCCTCAGTCTCCCTGTGGCCACCTCTTTGTAGTCACAGGACCTTGTTATTTTGGTCCTGAAATATTACAGCCGTCTGACAAATGGTGTCAGCAGCATGAATCACTCTATGACTTTCAGTCTGTGTCATACCTTTCACTTATTTTTAAACCAAATTAAGTCAAGAAGAAGGGAAAGTGGTCATTTATCTGTGGTGGTTGCTGGTGCCACTGCCTCTTTTGTGGGCTTGAGCAGCTCATTCTGTGACAGGCACCTCCTCTGCCTCATACCAGCCTCAACCCCAGGGCCCTACTGAGCTCCAGGTGCCCTTATGTCCCTGAGCCCATGTAGAACCTCCTGCTTATTCTTTCTCCAGGTTCCTAGAGAGACAGCCTTCATCTGATGGCCCAGCTACTCCCCTCCTTAACCCTAGAAGAACCACACCTCCATCCATTTCTGTCCCTAAAAAGAAAAGAAAGGCAAACAACTATTTGATCACCTTGATGCTGCTAAGCTGTGAAAATAAAAGTTTGGTCCACCCATCTTGCAACTTATCTTTATTGTCATGGCAACACAAAAAGGGAACTAACTCCTTTCACCTCTGAAAAAATCTCAGCCCTGATGGGGTGGGGGGAAGAGGGGGCAAGATTTCTCTTACTGGGTAACAAGAATAGCCTTTTAGCTCTTTCTAGAGTTTAGAAACTTGAGGAAGAAAGAAAGTAATAGTTACAGACACATCGGCCTTGCAGTGCAGTGCTGATCATTTCAGTAGAAGTTCAGAGGGAGAGAACTTTATTGTCAAGAGACAGATTACATTTTCCTCCCACCTTCAATCTTAGTATTCTGAAATCTTCCTTCTTAATGCACCAGAATTCTCTTTGTAATACATTGATTTGACCTTGTCATTCCCTGATTTCCAGAACATACCCTAACTGACCACCTCCTGTGTCAAGCCTTCTGTAACAGCCCCAGTCCAATCTAATTTCTCTCTTCTCTGAACTGCTGTTATAAACATGAAACACAAGGTCATTTGTGGTTGTAATTATTCTATGTTCCATATTTTCTTTTTTTTCCCCCAATTAGCCTGAAAATTTCTAAACACCAAAAAAAGCTTAAAAGCTTACCTTGCTACCCAAATTGCCTGTGAAGTTAGGATTCAAATTTCAGTGTGAGAAAACAGCTCTTTTCAGCACATAATCAAAGGCTTAAAAGAAATGTATTGCCCTTAAAATAACAAACTTTGCTCAGAGGTCTTCTTCCCTATAAAATAATTTTGCTTGATTTGTTTCTCCACTTGGATGGTCAGAAATATGGACTAAAATGTAACCCTTCAAAATAGAGCGTTAAGTAGACTAAATGAAAACTCTCTAATTGCCTAGTAAAATGTCACTGAACTGTATTGGAAATATTAGAAATAAAATAATTTCAATGAGTTTCCCCAACCGTCAAGTTGTGATAAGTTGAATACAGCAGTGACTCCTGCTCTTTCCCACATCATGGGGCACATGGACAATGATGGCATTTGTACAGCACACTGGGGTGAGTGGAAGAGGCTGCTCTGCAGGGCTTGGCTGTCCCTGCCTCCTGAATATTACAGGGACATCTCACCCAGGGCTCACAAGTTGGGAAGCCATGGAGGATGAACCCACATCTTCAAATTATCTGACATAATTTTAGAAGTAATAGTAGCAATGAAAACTGAAAACTGCTGCAGCCAAATCCTTTCCCTCTCCTCATTTTTGTTTTTAACCTTGAGAATGTGCAAGGTCACAAAACCAGTCTTCTATACTCAGTCAAGAGTGTGAATGTCCCCGTTAGTACAACAATTGAAATATTTTTCAATTCTGTTGCCTTCCTCCATCATCTCCCTTATAAAGAAAAGGATAAAAGAAAACACATCCATCTTCTCACCTTTATGGAACTCAAATGTGTCTTCTGATGGTTTGTGGCATTTAAGAAACTGACAGAATCTCCAGCAGGCTGAGCTCAACAAAAGTAAACTCTTAGCCAGAGTTGAATCTGATTTAATGATAAATACAGAAAGCAAGTTTCTCAGAAGACTATCCATGCACAGAGTACCTTCTGCAAATTATTTTAGGCACTGTCATTAGAAAATAAGTATGCTACACTTGGGCCTTTGCAGGCAAACCATTTTTGCCAGACACTTCCTTAGGTATCATCAAGTGAATGAAGACACTTTTCTATTTCAGTAATTTAAACATCAGCATTTTCTGTCCGAGCTAAAATAAGGCACCTAAACATAGGATAAGAGCAGATACCAAAATTACAAGGGCTTATGTTTTATTTATTACTGCCTGGAATTAAGATATCATTGCCTATTCCCATGGGGTTCTATTTCCTGCCCCCGGCACTGTGCACCAGAGAATTAAACAGCAAAAGAAGATATCAATTACAGATATGTAGGGAGTTAAAATATCTCAGATGGCTCTTAGGAGCTAGCTAAATATATCTAATTGGGGGATGGGAAACAAGGAAGGGATCTAACTTTGGACACTTGCCAATTCCATCTGAAAAATTTAACAGCCAACTTTGCTACAGGCATTCATTTACTTACTTCCAGAAGTAAATTAAAGAAACAGAATTGGAAGCCACAGGTGGGAAAAATTAATTGCCTTGTAGGGTTATTAGTGGTACCTAATGTGCTTTATAAACTAATAGTACTCCATAAATATGTCATTGTAAGTACCTTTCTCATTGGCACTAGCCAGATTAATAAGATAATGTGAATTAAGGAAAAAGAATTGGATTTCATTTTATTTTTCATACAAAAACATGCGAAATAAATCAATGTTATAGGGTAGAACCATACAATAAAATCCCATCAGAGAGACAAACAGATCATCGGGTTACCCTAGTTCAAAGGCTCTCTAGTTACATGTTAATTGTCAGGTTCCTCTCCCCTGCTTTCAGTGTTTCTCTTTGCTTTACCAAGGTCAGAACTCAGAACTCACATATATGATCATGTTTTCCACATATTCGGGATTTGCTTGTTAAATAATACAGGTTCCAACATAGCTCCCATTAAGGTATTTTTGAGGGTTATGTTAGAATCACCATACATTTTCTTGACTTCCATGAACATTAAGCAGAAGCCTAGTAATAGGTAACATCTATCAAGTCCAGTGTCCTTGTTAATCGACATGTGTTAAATAGTTTCCATAGGCTTACTCATTTCTTTTTTACAACAACCTTGTAAGATGGGTACCATTATTGTTCTTGATTTACAGATGAAGAAAACTGAGACTTAGAGGCATGAAATAACTTGCTCAGAGATTCAATCCCATGACTCTCTAGCATTGAAGTCCGTGCATGTGCCATGAGGAAATACTGTTTTCTCTGTATATGTGTCCACGGTTACCCAATAGAGAACTTTCAGTGATGGGAAACAGACGATACTACATTGACATGGCCTCTTGTAGTCTCTTCTCCTCCCATGTAACCACCTCTCCTTCTGCCCTCTTCTTCCATCTTAATCTCCTTTCAACTCTTCTCTTCATATTCTTTTCCAAAGGCAAATACGCCATGCGAGACCTAGTCCACAGGCTTCCAGGCGGAAACAACAGCAACAATGCAGTGAGCAAGGCCATGTCGGATGACACCGTGACAGCTGTCTGCTGCACCCTGCACGAAGTGATCACCAAGAACATGGAGAACGCCAAGGCCTTACGGGATGCCGGTGGCATCGAGAAGTTGGTGGGCATCTCCAAGAGCAAAGGAGATAAGTAAGTTGCATGGCGACGTCATCTCTATGCATTGGTAGCATTGCTTCTAAATGTGTGTCTCCTGTTGTAGGTGGTGCTACTGAATGTCACTGGAAAACATTTGTCTCTAATAATCTGGACAAGGGAAACAGCAAATTGTTTCCTGTCTTCCCACCCCACAATGAAAGCTGATCTTACTAGTAATTTTGATTTGATGAATAACTCATGAGTTGGTGACTACTGCAATATTGGTACGATAGACTTGACAATCCAGCCTGCATGCTAGTGTATTCCTTCAACTTGCAAGAGACAACTAGCTGAACCTGGATACGTTAAGGGACTTTGTTGTCATTGTCATTCCTCTGTGGTTGCAAGCCTGTGTGCTGCTGAGTCTCCACACCCTTCTGCTCTGTGCCTCTTCAGCTCTGCACAGCAACTCAAGTCCCCTTTGCCAATATCACAGTAGTCACCAAGTGCTAGCAAGTCACCATGCAGGGAGGAAGGGGAAGAAGACAGTGTGATGGAGTCAGGGAGAACTCAGTGCCCTCCCTTGCTAGCTGTGAGATTTGGGGCAAAATATTTCATTTCACAAGTCGTTATGCCTATACTTGCCAATCTAAAACTGGGGGAGAGGCTGTCATAATATATTATCTGGAAGAATGATAATCATAACCTAAAGAATGAATAGAAGTTTCCCATTTTTGTGGGGGTGGTGATAGCGAGGAAGAAGAGCTTTCAGGCAAATGGAATGAAAAGAGATAAGACTTGCTGTCAAAGCAAGGACACCACAACAGGAATGTCCCCCAGTTTGATTTTAGAACCAGTGGTATCTTATTGTATGCAACCAAAACTATCTTCATGAGCCAGAGTGGCAGTATATCAGCAACCTGTCAATTTTACAAAAACCTTCACTAACCTTAATTAAATTTTGCCTCCTGAAATTCCAGCAGTGTAATCAAATGATATTGAAAGAAGAAACCTTTTGTTATCAAGGGTCTGCTTCTTGATTTTTCATTTCCTTCCCCTCCATTCCTTTACATCTAAATGCTAAATGATTCTTCTTTTGTTATTAAAGAATGTGAGGGATGTACTTTGAGACTTTCTGGAAATTCTGTCTCATTATTTGACTTCATTCAGGATATTACCAATGTATTATAAAGGAAGTTTCAGGGTTTTTGTTTAAGCACCCTAAGTCTCCAAATAGGTTCAATCAACAATTCAGCATTAGGATTCAAGTACTTTCCTATGTCAGGTAGAGAACCCCCACTGGACTCATGTAGTAATTGTGCAGTGAAGATTGCTGGCTTGAACTATATCTTATGATATTGTACTTACAATAAAATGCTATACTACATAGGCAGGAAGCCACATGGTTTTCTTCTTTATATAGCCTCAGTAGACCTTTGGAATCTCTAATTGGAGTGCTTACCTGTTTAGGGCATTAAGAGTAATATGTTAATGCTTTTTAAAGCATATGTACCTACACACACAATAAAACCATAGCCCACAAAAGCAATCCGATACATTTGTCTGTATTAATGAGACATCCACAGGCTTAAGTCTTTTCTCTGACTTATAAGACTAGAGAGCTTTAAAGAGTGCTTGGCCATGTATCAATTCCCTCCACCTGTGTGAGATCCCTAGAGCAACAAGCATCACTCAATGGCCCATAAGGAGAAAAGATGCTCTAATGAGTCCTATGGTCAAAGAAAATTATTTGGTGGAATTAATTTTAAAAAATATTTAAGGAAATTATCTATGAAATACTTTATATCCTTATTGCCAATCCAGAAAATGGTCCTGTTAGGTCTGGTCCAATCTTGATTATTGTTAATGGGAAGTGTTTTTTTCACTGCAGATGATCTCATAAACTACCTTGAATTTGGCTGAAATTTTCTTTATGGAATAGTCACTTGTTTCATCTCACTGCTTCTTTCTCCACCCCACGACCCCCCCACCCCAACCCCAAGGCCAACGGCCTGGATTTAACAGGATGTGTTGTACTGGCTTGAAACAAGCATCTTCTAGTTACAGTTCTTCTGCCCAGTCAGTCCCATATACATTTTTTCATGTAGCTTATCTCTTTTTTTTTTATATACTGACTAATTTGGAGATCAAAACGAGGTTTTTATAGCTGCATATATCCTCATCTCCTACCTGGCCTTCACTTTGGTTATTGCTTTTCACTGCTCTTAAAACAAAATGAATCCAGAAGATTTGCTCCGAATCTTAGTGTGAAACCATTTATCACTCAATTCTGTTATGACAGTAGACACTGAGATTCCCATGAGCTTCTAGACATTTTTAATAAAATAGAAATTTTTTATTTATTTTAGAATTTTTGGAATTGGGGGTGACTTAATCATTGGAAATGGTAGGAATATCAATTTACCTGAGTTAATTTTTTTCAATGCTTACAAATCTGTCCACCCTAAATTGTCCTTAAAAATTTATTTCCAGAAACAAGTTCTGTCCAAACCTGACTTTTATTTGAGATAGCATAGGAAAACACATGGAAGAAACATGACTAGCTATGATTCTCCATTTTATGTTTTCATACATTTTATTACTAAATATATACAAGCTTAGATATGAAACGATGTTAATGAGTCAGACTGGCGAGTTGCAGATCACAGTACGTTGGAACTGTACCACTCACTGTTTCTTGCAAACACAGTCAGTGGGACTGGTGTTCTGGGATCCTGCTGCTGGCACTGTGTTGAACAGCCACAGTGAATTTCACCCACTGAGATCTTCAGCCATGCCCAATTCAATAGCTCTGGTGAAGATCAGATATTGTATAATTGTTATTAGATCCTACAGGAGTCTTACACTCACTATTTTGAAGCCTTCGTTAATTCATTCTTTCAGATCATTTTAAACACCCAGTATGGACATTCTATCATCTCCATCTGTTTCAAAAATACGTTTGTTTTTTTTAAATTTTAACAGTTATATAGGAAATAGTGTTGAATGTGTCACTTTATTTTGTCATAAGACAGAAAAGCTATTAACATTCCCAACTGCTACTTGTCAGTAAAGCACTGTGTGTTGTGGCTTACGTTATAATCACTTGTCACATTAGAAACACTCAATTGTTCCAGTCCTTCAATCAATAGTTACAGTTCTTCATGTAGAAGTTTCTATGGTACCAGTCTGATGGATAGATCAAAACTAAAGTCTAAAAAGAAAGCAATGTTTCCTTGACCTTCAGGTGTTGGTCTAACACTATGATATATTGGCATTTTAAATGAGATGTTAAAGCCTACTCTGTATTACACATTCACAGTCTCTCTCTATTTTGTAACTAAACACGAAGTGAAAACAAAAAAGGACACTGTGTCAGCGGAATTTTTGCAAACTAAATGTGTTTCAGCTACATTATCGCTACTTGAGTATTAGTAAGTGTTCCTCTAGAGCTGCTTGACTACTGTCATGAACAAATATTTTGCTAACAGTGATAACACACAATAAAACATAGCTTTTCATCTTTGTACAGCATTGATTATATAAAAATAAAGTGTACCTTTATCTGTATCCATGAAAAGATCTAAAGTTCTTTGTAAGTCAAAAGAATTTAATATTATATTGACAGCATGACACTATCATAAATTGTGAAATCACTTAGCAACCATTCATTTCAGTAAAAGAAAATATATGTTACTTAAATATAGCTAATCTTTCAAAAGAAAAAAACAGGAGTTTATAAGAAATCTATATATTTTTCTTTTTAAAATACTTGATATAAGTAATACATTTTCACACACAAAGTTGAATTCCATCTCAGTAATAATAAGAGTAAGAGTGACTGTTGCCCTTAAGTTAATGGATGAAAAAACCTTAAACTTAGTTGTTCTAAATGACAAACATGAAGATCCAGGAAAATAGCAGGCACCCTATCAACCATGTACTGGCATCTTATAATTTCATTTCAAAATGTGTGTCCTTGCAACATCTATTTACTTTGGCTCTCAAATATAGCCTTGACCTGACCCATCCAACTCTCTGCTCACTTTCTATTTCAAAGACCATTTTATTTCACAGGCATCCTTGGTCTCAATTCAGATGTTCTCTCTTCACAGGGCCTGAGAGCCCTGCTCCATGAATGAGCTTCAGGGGTGGTCATCTCGTTGGAGTCTTTGTGAATGGTTATATCCTGCCCAAAATTATTCACATGGACCAGACATCCACAGACTATATAACTCATGGGCCCAATCCCACTCATCACGTGTTTTTCATAAATAACATTTTATTGGAACCCAGTCACACCCATTCATTTATGTATTGTATTTATGACTCCTTTTATGCTCCAATAGCAGAGTTAAGTAGCTGCAACCAAGATCATATGGCCCAAAGCAGAGAATATTTGCTATCTGACCCCTCACAGAAAAATTGTGCCAGTCCTAAGGTAGACCATAATGTCAACAGCAGCCACCAGAGTTGTGCAGCTGGTTGGGAAACCAGCCCATTAGAACAAGAAATCCACAGGTAGTTAATAGTTTCTGTGAGCACTAGTCAAAGTGACTTCCAAGAATTTGGCTTAATTAAATCAATACAGATTTATTGACCTAGTCTCTGTTTTGTGGTTCAGCATGGCACTGAACTAAAAGGCAAAATATTTCATTGTATTTTCATAGGGATTTTAAATGTATGCAGACTCAGCATTTGATTACAAAATGGAATAGAAAGAAGAAAAACTGTAATGATTTGGAAGGGCTGGATTCAGGGGTTTTAATGACATTGTTGTGTAACACACAGAAAATGGTAAAGAACCAATACTCCAAAGGTTTGTGTGACCCTGGATTTTTACTATGGTCCAGAGGACAGTCCTTGAAGTATGTGGGGGGCCTTATTTTATAGCAGCTCACACAGGCGCATTCCTCTGTACACATGGGAGAGTGTGCGTACGCACACGTCTTGTGCTGTCCATCAGCACAAATGGAGAGAAATCGCCTGCACTCATGCAGGCATGTGCACTATGCGTGCTCTCAGGCCTCAGTTGAGGCAGCATCTTTTTCTTCTTACTATGCAGATGTTACATGACGCTGCCATTAAAACCCGTGAATCCAGCCCTTCCTAATGGCTGTCTTTTTTTTCTTTTTTTTTTTTTTTTTTTTTTTTGTCTTTTGTCTTTTTCCGTGTCCGGCAACGGATCGCAACCCTCAGTGTTGCCCCCGTACCGGACCGGGGACCGGCAACGGGATTGCAAGCCTCGGTGTTGCTCCCGCGCCTCGCTCAGCCAGTGAGC